CATATAACAGTTTGGCACTTTCCAAACTGTTCAGCCATCAGTTCTGAAAAATGTTCTGATGTCCTCTGCATCAAAGTATATATTTGAAAACAGACATGTAAACATTTTCACATGTCTACCACTTATAATATGTCCCTATGTGTTGTTCACATTTCTAACACAAGACCTTCTTATCACAGCAACCATGTATGTGCCTTTTTTGCCAGTTGGTATCTAAAATGTCCAGGCTAAAAAATCTCTGTCCTCTTTTTCATAAGAAACAGTTGTGCTGCATATGGATCCAATCAGATATTTATTTCCATTTCATTGCTCTCTTCTTCTGTTCTCAGTATCACAACCCCATCTTTTGAGTTGCAATCAGCCAAAAATATGTAGATTTGGAGCTTATAGATGGAAAAGTGTTGCTAAGGTTTTTAATTTTTCACACAGCTCTTAAAATTATTATATACATGATGATACTTTTTGTATGGAAAATATCCTTTTTCTCAGGACCTGGGGATCACTCACTGTGTGCATTACTGTAAAGAATGTTGTGGATAATTTATAGACCCTCTGAACTGCTTAGAGTTTAGCTGTAATGATGTCAGTTGGCAAACGTCAGAAGGGCTAATCTTCCCTCTATAATCTAAAGTAGACCCAGCAGGCTCAGAAAAGAACTACAGTTTTGTCAAGAGTGAGTTGAACAATTATCAAATACGTTCATTTTAAAAAGCGCTGTGAAAACATAAAAATCTAAGCTCAAATGTTGATAACTTCCCATCTGTCAAATGGAGCTGCTAAGAAGGATTAGAAAATAAAACTAATTTACCAGAATTAAAATGAATTTAATTTGTGCTTGGCAATGAACTGTGAACATGAACAGAAAATGTTAGTTCAATAGCTCTGAGATTCAAATAATGAGGAGTACAGAGTAGGAATTATTTAAATGTGTGTGTTGCAGGGAGGGAGATTTTTTAACATTTCCATTTTCTATCAATATGCTTGTGCATTTGCATTTTGAATGATGCACAAGTCTGGCAATCCTATGTCCTTCATGGTCATCTAGTTATTTTCAACACTGATTTGTTGAGCAAAGATTTGCAAAAATCCAAAACCCACAATAGCATTGCTTCATTAGATGGCTGCCACATGCCCAGAGCACCTTAGGCAATTAAACATCTGTGCTGAATTAGTCTTCCTTGCATTCTAAAACTTTTTTTATCAACATGTTACATTTTCTTCTCCTCCCAGTTCTGGTCTCAGTAGCATTCATTCATCAGTCCTCAAGTCCCATAGCACCAAATAATGTTGTTCTGCTCACAGTGTGGAGGATTCCAAATGAATCTTTGCAAATTGAGTGTAACATTGAAAGATGGTTGTATTGCTTCCAAACTACTTTTTTATTCATCCATGTGCAAAGCTTTTGTTTGCAAATAGCACATTTTGTCAACAATGAAAAGTGTTGGAAGCACTGCTGCAATCAAGTATTCTCTTTATGCCTTTTCCTTCTTTCTGGTATTAGAGCGATTGGCACGGTAAATTAGTGTGGTACTTTCAGCATGTCCCTAACCATATTTCACAATATTTCTTAAGCTTTCCCTTTGCTCACCTGTAGATTATAATGTATGCTCATTGATTATCAGTGTAACACAGCAACAACATCTTATGGCCTTAGCAACTCTAAGGTTTATAGGGTCATGTAGAGATTCTACCCTTTTGCTTCTGTGACATAAGATAGAAAGAACTCAAAGGACATAACAAATGAGGTGTAGGGGTGCAACAGAGGCAAATTATGTGGAAAGAAAGAACATGGAACCTGACAGGAGGGGACACAGTCTGATGAATCCCTCTGCTGTTCCACGCTTTTGCTTGCTGTCACCTCCTTTACCCCTCCTCATTTGATAAGGTCCCAAAACATTGTAGTATTATTATTATTTAGAACATTTATATCCTGTCCTATTCTTTACCTCAGAAGAGAGACTCAGGGTGGCTAGTGGTTTGACAAACACAACAAATTAGCATTCAAAAGGACCTCCCCATACCTGACAAATCAGATTACAAAATCCTGAAGTGATGGGTTTCACACAGGACTGTAACCCTCATAATAATAACAAGGGGGAATCCAACCCAAATTACAGGGGGAGGGGGGGGGGGTCAGAAACCTGACTATGTTACACATGACTTTGCCTTTCGGGCAGAACAAACCTCAAATTCTGGAACAACAGGCATATTATTTATTGTGTCAGGAGCAGACCAAACTGTTGTACTGAATTTTTTAAACAAACAAACAAACAAAACACAAAGTTTGCAAGCTTGGTAGTTGATTAAATGTCCTTTGACCAGTAGCTGGCCACTTGGAGTGCCTCTGGTGTTGCCACAAGAAGGTCCTCAGGGTGCATTGCAGCAGGTGGTCAGTGGTTTGCTCTTCTCCACACTTGCATGTCGTGGATTCCACTTTGTGGCCCCATTTCTTAAGGTTGGCTCTGCATCTCGTGGTGCCAGAGCGCAGTCTGTTCAGCGCCTTCCAAGTCGCCCAGTTTTCTGTGTGCCCAGGGGGGAGTCTCTCATTTGGTATCAGCCATTGATTGAGGTTCTGGGTTTGAGCCTGCCACTTTTGGACTCTCGCTTGCTGAGGTGTTCCATTGAGTGTCTCTGTAGATCTTAGAAAACTATTTCTTGATTTAAGTCGTTGGCATGCTGGCCGATACCCAAACAAGGGATGGGCTGGAGATGTCTCTGCCTTGGTCCTTTCACTATTGGCTGCTACTTCCCGGCGGATGTCAGGTGGTGCTAAACAGTGTAATTTCTCCAGTGGTGTAGGGCGCAGACACCCCGTAATAATGCAGCATGTCTCATTAAGAGCCACATCTACTGTTTTAGTGTGGTGAGATGTGTTCCACACTGGGCATGCATACTCAGCAGCAGAGTAGCATAGCGCAAGGGCAGATGTCTTCACTGTGTCTGGTTGTGATCCCCAGGTTGTGCCTGTCAGCTTTCGTATGATATTATTTTTAGTGCCCACTTTTTGCTTGATATTCAGGCAGTGCTTCTTGTAGGTCAGGGCACGGTCCAGAGTGACTTCCAGGTATTTAGGTGTGCTGCAATGCTCCAGTGGGATTCCTTCCCAGGTAATCCTCAGAGCTTGGGATGCTTGTCTGTTCTTAAGGTGAAAAGCACATGTCTGTGTTTTAGATGGGTTAGGGAATCAGCTGGTTTTCCTTGTAATAGGCAGTAAGAGAGCACCTAGAGCTTCGGAGAGCTTCTGTTCAACCATCTCAAAGCTCCCTGCTTGAGTGGTGATGGCACGATCATCAGCATAGATGAAACTCTCTGTCCCTTCTGGCAGTGGCTGGTCATTTGTGCAAATGTTGAACATGGATGGCAGTCCGTTCTTCTGTTTTTGCCATCTGCTTCTTTGGCCCTGGAACTCAACAAAAAAAAAATCCTGTTTTGTAGCAGATTTCCTATGAGGCGGGTGAGATGGTAGTCCTTTGTGATATTATTTTTTTTCAGGAGGAGGTGGTGGTTTACAGTATCATAAGCCGCTGACAGCTCCTGTGATCTGCTGCCTTTCAAAGCCATCTTCTATGTGCTGAGTCAGGTTCAGCACTTGCAGCTTTTGCCTTCCTGAAGCCAGCTTGCTGTGGAATCAGACATGGGTCTATTTTTTTCCATAATTCTATGCAAAATAAGTCTCTCCAGAACTTTGTAAAGATGGCATAACAAGGAGATTGATCTACAGCTTTTTGGATCATTACGGTCTTTGCCTGGTTTCAAGATGGCTATAACTCTTGCTTTCCTCCTGATTTTGGGGATCTAACAGGATGCAGTGCAGTTGTTCATCAGCTCCAGCAGCCAGCACCTTGCTTTTGGACCAAAGTTCTTGATTTGTTCCATCCGTAGGTCATCCAGGCCAGCTGCTTTGGCATAAATCATGCTCACAACAGATCAGCTTCTGAGCATTTGGTATGCAGATCCTATCTGATCTTGGAAGCCAAGCCAAGCTAATCCTTGTTAGATGGACAAATGCTAACAAATATCAGATGCTGTAGACCAAGCATCCTCAAAATGTGACCCTCCATCTGTTTGGGCCTCCAACTCCTAGAAGCCTTAATGAGCTTGTTCAATTGTCAGGAATTCTGGGAGTTGAAGGCCCAAACAGCAGTTTGAGAATGCCTGCTGTAGACTATCCCTTATCCCAAATGCTTGGGACCAAAGGTGATTTATGTTTCTTATACAACCTGAAGGTAATTTAATACTATATTTTAATAATGTTGTGCATGCAAACAAGTTTGTGTACATGTGGGCAATTTTGGATTTGGAGTATTCCAGATTTCAGAATTCCAGATAAGGGATGCTCAACTAGTCTTTTAGATTAAGGAACTAGCAAAATGAACTCTGAGTATTCCTTTGCCTGAGAAAACCCTATGACATTCATGTGTTTGCCATAAGTCAACAAGCAACTTGAAGGCACATATGTACAGTAATGGTTTCTGCTGCCAAATATAATATGTTGTATGGTATCCATAAAATGATAGATTGATGGATGCTGTGGTGCCTTCTATTCTACCTTTTGGCTCTACAAACCCAAGTGACTAGCATGCATATCTACAGGCCACCTTTTCATCCATCTGGGTTTGGACTGCAATTTGGAGCAATGTGGACAATGAGTTCTTTATTTCCTCCTCTACTACCTCCGCTATCATATTTGATTGTTGTTTTTTTACATGGTAGGTTTTAATTCACTTTTCTTTCAACTGCAGATCTCCAACTATTAGTGCCCAGAAAGCTTTATGTCAGTGAGCCCATCTCAAGCAAATAAAATTTAGACAGACTCAGAGATATATTTTTCTGTGATTTTCTTCACAATTTATAATTTGCTTTTTCTTTTGATAGATTTATTTCTGTTGCTTTATTTATTTGCTATTATTTCTTTGTTTTAAATATTTCAATCTGTTTTGGAAATGTGGCATATAAAAACCTAATTAACAAACTAAAGAAACAAATGAATGACTTTGTAGGTGTTCGAAGAGTGAACTATGACAAGTTAGATGCATTACTGAACATCACTGGGCTTCAAGGAAGGTAGGTTATTCTAATTGGTATGTGACATAGATATTAACTAATGCTTATTTGATTTTACATTTTTTTGTGTATAATTCAATTTTTTAAGCAGATGTTCTGGAGAAGGCATTTTAAAGGACTATATGAAGATAGAAATAGACATAGATATACATATATTTACTTTTTTTAAAAAAAGAACAAGGAATTAGGGGGAAAAGAGGGAAGGGCTTGGTTGCAACATCCTTTATAAGCATGAAATGCTGTAGATATTTTGTGCTTGGACTGTTATTAATCCTTGCCAGCATGGTCAATGGTGAGGGAAATTAAAAACAATATATGCAGTGTGTGACTCAGTAAAATGAACATAGCCAAGAAGCTCTGCACTATAGCAGTCATGGGCAAAATTCAGCCCTCCAGGTGTTTTGGACTTGAACTCTCAGAAATCCCAGGCAGCTTGCTGGCTGTTAGGAATTGTGGAAGTTGAAGCCCAAAACACACGGAGAGCCAAAGTTTGTCCATGTCTGCACAATAGCCTACTTGGTGTGAGATAATCCCCTCTTGCCTTATGAAATCCTAGGCAAGAAGCAATAACAACAAAAGGCAATATGCCTAATGGGGCTGCCATACATTGCTGACACATGGTTTAGCACATCACATTTTCTGCAGGTCTGGGATGTAGCACTGTGTTTCAGCTATCTCAGGGTAGGGCACTCCAGATATTGCTAGACTACAGCATCTATTGTAAAAGGATCGCCTATACTGCCATATAAAATCCAGATTATCTTCTTAGAACTGGATTATATGGCAGTGTAGATGGGGCCTAAGACAAGAAAACAAAGAGTTTATATCTTTATTTACCATACTTGTATCCTGCCTTTCTCAACTCCGAAGGGGACTCAAGGCGGCCTTACAAAGGCAACATTTTCCATGGTCCAACTACTTGTAGAGGTCCACAAGTCTTCTCGAATCACAGAATCATAAGAGCTTTGAAGAGACCACAAAAGCCATCCAATCAACCCCTCTGCTATGCAGGAATTAATACACTCCAGAAAGATGGCTATCCAGCCTCTGCTTTAGAATCTCCAGAGAAGAAGACTCCAGCACACCTCAAGGAAGCTTATCTGGCTGTTAAGCAGCTCTTACAGTCAGAAAGGGTTTCCTAATATTTAGGTGAAATCTCTTTTCCTGTAGTTTCAAGACAGTGCTCCATGTCTTAGTCTCTGAGGCCACAGAAAAAAAAACCTTACTTCATCTTCAGTATCACATATTTTATAATATTTAAACATGACTTTTCTATCATCTCTTATTATTGCCTTTTCTAAGCTAAAGTCACGTAGTTTTCCAAGCCATTCTTCATAGGGCATGGTTTCCTTTTAATTTTGGGCCGCCCTTCACTGGACACATTCCAGTTTGTCAATATCCTTCTAGAATTGTGGTGTCCAGAGCTGGACACTGTATTTCACATAATATCTGACTAAAGCAGAATAGAGTGATACTATGGCTTCCCTCCATCAAGGTACTATACTCCTTTTAATGCAGCCTAGAATCACATTGGCTTTTTAAAAAGTCGTCATAGCACACTGATGACTCATATTCAGCTTGTGGTCAACTAAAACTCCTTCTACACTGTCCTTATATTCCAGGATCTGATCCCAGATTATCTGCTTTGAATTGGATTATATCAGTCTACACTGCCAGATAATCTATGATAATCAGATAATCTGGGACCAGATCCTGGGATATAGAGCAGCGCAGAAGAGACCTAAGACTCCTCGATGCCTTTCACACACACAATTTTCAAGCCAGATGTCACCCATCCTATATCTGTTCATTTCATTCTATCTGCCTGTGATACCTAAAATTTCTCCCTGTAGTGGTCATTCGGATTCTGATTCTTTTCTCTGTAGTATTAACTATTCTTCTTTGTTAATGTTTATAAGCATTCCATCATCCAAGTCAGTGATAAAAAATATGATTGGCACTGGGCCCAAGAATGAACTCTGTGGCACTCTAATGGTCACTTCTATCCAGGATGAGGAGAAGTCATTGGGAAAGATTCTCTTTGTGTTCAATCAGTCAACCAATTCCCAATCCGTCTAACAGTAGGATTGTCTAACCCACGTGTTGTAGTTGTTTATTTGTTCAGTCGCTTCTGACTCCTTGTCGGCCGTTGCCACCCCCAGCTCCTTCAAGGTCAAGCCAATCATTTCAAGGATACCATCCATCCATCTTACTCACATGTTGCGGACTTATTTGCAAGAATATTGTGGGAAACCTTGTTGAAGGATGTACTGAAGTCAAGATATGGTGCATCCAGAGCAGCTCTTTCATTAAACTTTTAATTCTATCAAGTCTGGTATAACATGTTTTTGAGAAACTCATATTGACTTTTAGCAATCCTACTTCTGAATTATGCATTTACTTTTGCTCAACTGTCCAAATCACATTGTTAGAGCAGAACTAGATGAGAAGATGGTGTTCCATACTAAGATCTCCTGTTTCTTTAAGATTTAATAAACAAGTACCATGGGGAGATCTGAGTCAGATCAGCACCATAGTATTGTGGGAGCTTTATTTCTATTTTCCTCCAATTCACTATCCTTATGAAAATCATCCTTGACACTACTGTTCAACCTGTTCAGGGAATCTTACTCATGCATCATGGATGCATGCATATATGTTTCTCCTATAAGCAGAAGTAGAAGTTTAAGATGCAATCACTTTGTAAACAGTAGCAGTGAAGAAAGTTAAATCCTTGTTTGTTCAATGACTTGACCCTCATCCAAATTAGAGGCTCTCATAAATACTATTTGCTAAAACACTCTTATGTTTCATCTAGCTTATCTTAAGTCTGAAAAGTACAATTCAGGGCAGCTCTCTCTTTCTTAAAAAACAGCCATCTTAACAAGAGTGTCAGCATGAAGACTAGATTTGGGTTTGATCAAAGGTTGAAAAGTGACACTGTTCTCTTGAAAAAACTTGAAAGGAGAAAGAAACTCAATAAGATAGCTACATCATTTGCTAAAAGCAACCTCTAAGGTAGGACTGGGATAGACTTTAAGCACTTTGTGATGATCTGGCTGCATAGATCGTTGCAGACTGCAACCAGGTATGGGAAGATGTGAATATTTTCAGGTAGATCAATCAAGACAGGCAGAACAAGACTGGAGCAATGTAGCTCTTTAAAAAGGACACAGACTGTTGCTTTGTTCTAACACAGTTTGCCCTCAGGCTGCAGAGAAGGAGGTTTGACAGTTTGCTTGAATTTTCCAAAGCTCAAGGCTCTAGTTCTCCCTGAACTGCTGTAGTGGGAGATATGCAAATAAATAATGTCAGGGGATCGTGATTAACCAAAATGTTCATATTCTTCACATTTCTGTGCAAATAAGACTAGCTGTTGAAATTAGACTTTCATTGAAACTCTTATTGTACTTAGGTAAAGATTAACAAAACCTTTTAAAGAAAGTTGTTAAGGTAACAGTTCAGGCTTGGTCAAAAACCTCTTGTCAATTGCAAGTCTCCTTTTCTCTTCTCCTCCCCCCTCCTTTTTTATCCTCTACATCAAAGATTATATATATATATATATATATATATATATATATATATATATGTGTGTGTGTGTGTGTGTGTGTGTGTGTGTGTGTGTGTGTGTGTGGCTACCATATCAGTGAGTTCTGCATCCAGTCTAAACACAGCTAAATCTTTTAAGAAGGTAACCTGAGAATAGGCACATGGGATTAAGTACAGATTAAAACCTGGAGTTGAATCATTATCTCACTGATATGTGAACCACTACTATCACTTTTGTATGTGAACGTCCTTAAGTATATTATGATATATAATCCATCTCACAAACAGGCAGATGTGAGAACTGGTTAATCAATGAATGCTAATTTAAAGGAGAACTGTATATATTTAAAAGAGAATTTATACAGAATGCATATTTACACAGTTTATCACAAACTACATTTTATGTCATCTGGGCCAGAAAACGAATTCTCCCCCTTCTACATCAAAATATGGATGCAGCCTCTTCAATAAGCATTGAATTCTGGATGTCAGACCATAAGCTCAGTATATACAAACCAGTTCTACTGTAATATCATGATCCCATATCTCTCCCTCAGGAATCCTTCTAGCTATGAATTTGATTTCTGTTTTGAATTGATTAGTGAATAAATAATTGTCTTGATGAAACTACAAGGACTTATCAATAAAATATATTTCAGTCCAAGTAAGTGTCCATAGAGCTTTGAGATGAAGGACTTTAAAATCCACAGTGGAGTTGGCTGAATAAAACTGTAAGCTGAAAGATGTTAATCTGAATAATTTATTGATGGCATAACCTTTAAATTCAGGACATTTAAAAATGCATTTCTACATAATTAACAGTAATTTTCTTCAAAATGGAACATAATTAAAGAAAAAACCAGTGGGGGTATATTTAGATGATGGGAAAGTTAGTTAAATTCATATCAGACTGCACCTGCTGTCTTTTCTAATATGGAAGGCAGAGATTTACATTCCTTTTGAGTCCTAAGAAAATTTAAAATGTAAACTAAGAGAGAAGATATTGCCATGACTATTAAACCCAAGAATCCACATTAACCAAGGAAATTAACAAGCAAACCCCCTAGTTGTAAACTAATTTCTGAGATCACTATATTTTCAAAATAAAACAAAGCTAAAGTGTCTTTCTTCTTTGTGGTCTCTGTGAAAATCATGCTTGTGGTAGTTTCATGTGCCTGCATGGTCAGTTTAGAATTTTCTGGAAAATCCTTGAAGTTTTAGGGCTGCAGCCCTGCCCATACACTTCAGGTGGTATATAGCCGGTGGGAAGGGCTGTAGTCTCAGTTCCTTTCGTCCGCCTAGCAGCAGTTTTGGGGATCGTGTGCTCACTTTACTAACTTGCTTTACTTAATCCTATTTTGACTATGGCCTGCAAGTGTCTAATCTTCTTTCTTCTTCTTCTTCTTCTTCTTCTTCTTCTTCTACTACTACTACTACTTACATAATTGACCCAGACATGACTATGATTCAACCACTTTACTAACTCTACTACTCAGGCCAGTAATGTCTACAGTGTCTTTAAAAATGTGTTCATCTTGTGGAGGCAATTAGTCTCCTGCTGATGGCCATAATGTGTGCTTGTTATGTCTGGCAGAGTGACACACAGTAATATGGAATATTTCTCTGGCCTTTACTCCCCAGGTGCACAAGAGCTGGGAGACCCAGCTCAAAGCCTTCTTTGGTGAGCAGGACATCCTCCCTCCAATACTTGTCTAGAACTATGCTGCATCATAACTGCCAGCTTACTCAGCCAGTCTAGTTAGGGGCAGTTTATTGACACAGCCAGATCTCCCCCTTCTGGCAGGCAAGTGGTCACCAGTGGAGCTCTTGCTTTTGATCTGCAAAGAACATCTGACCACAGGAAGTCTCCCAGAATGTTCCTGAAGTACTGAAAGGATGTCAGTGGCCTTGCAGTTTCTTCTCAGTGGCTCTCTTTATGGATTGTATCAACAATTTGCTTAGTATACCAGCTCTCTGAGTGAGAATTGCCTTTGAAAATTAAGGCACACTCCATGAAAGCTATTGTGACATTAACAGAGTTCCTGAGGGACATTCCCTTGGAGGACATCAGTCAGGAAGTCATTTGTTCTACCCCGTTTACCTTTGTTACGCACTACAAGTTGGATGTCCCTTCCAAAAAGGATGTGGCCTTTAGCAGAGCTATTCTCTTTTCTTCAGTGGCATGAAACCCACCATCAGGGTTTGGTGGCTTGCTACATGAAGGAATGGTTGCTTACCTGTAACCTTGTTTATTTGAGTGATTATCTGAGAAATTTGCACATTCTACCCATTCTCTCTGCTTTCTGTCATGCCTTGGTTCTTTAGCTGCTGCTAGTTGGCATGGCAACTGAGGTTACAGCCCTTCCCACTGGCTATATACTACCTGGGAGTGTGGACAGGGCTGCAGCCCTAAAACTTTCTAGATTATTTTGAGCTGACTGTGCAGGCACATGAAACTACCACAAGTGCGAATTTCACAGATGACACTTGAAGACATGTTCACAGGTAAGTAACCATTCCTTCTGTTTTATGTGTTAAGAGACATATAAGTGAAAGACAATAGAGGGAAAGGTACTGCAATCAGCTACTTCTCTGAGGAAAGCCACACTCTCACATTGAATAAATGAAGAATGGCTATGAACTGGATAATGAAGCCATTTATACTAGGGTTGTAAGAGTGAAAACTGAAGCAATGCAGTTGCCTATGCCTTTAATGGTTGTTAGCTTGCTATTTGGTTACATGATAAGCAACATCTGAAAAAAAAAATCCCTCTTCAACCAAAATATTACAGAAACAGGAGCCCTCTCCTATTTTTAGTCTTAATACCTTAATTTTCAGATTATAATTAATAAAATTTGTTGGGAGATTATGGAAGTTCTTCTTTAAAACTGTGGCTCTTTTAAACTCTAATTTCAAGTAACAAGTTCCAGTTATTCTATTTTTAGTTTTCAGCTCAAGTCTTGTAATCTAATACCTAGCGTTAGTCCCAGATAGAAGAGACTAATTTAATAGAAATTTGCAAAATCAACAGCTATGGAAATTTTAGTGATTTAATGAGATTCTCTAGTTGAGATTAACAATTGGATTGAAGTATTGGTAGGAGTGTTAAATGACATTTATTATACAGTTATTATATTGAATAAGTGGAGCAAGGCATCTGGTGTAACAAAGTATGGCATTGAGCAACCCTGCTTCATAAACACTTTGCTTGAAAATTCAGTGATTCCATTCACCATGAAAATTTGCTGATTTTTTAAAGAATTATTACAGTCAAATGTCAAACCTCCATAATCTATTTTCAAGGTAATACAGTTTGAAACATTCATTTTAGGCCTATTACATTTAGATTCTCCAGCCAGTATGCCTGTTGGCCAGATTGGTTGAAAGAGTCTGAGAATTATAGTCCAAATTAAGTTATTGCACCCTCTAAATTAACCTTTTACACCCTGGAACATTTACTGGACCCAAAGACTAGATTTGGTACAAGTGTAACACTCCCTAGAACTTTGTTTTTGTTTATTCATTTCATATTTTTTTTCAGAGATCATTTGTATGCCATTGATGAAGCTCATGAAAAGTTTATGGCAATTTATCCAACCATTTTTGTTAAGGAAAAGGTAGTGTTACCAGGCATTCCTGAAAAAAGAACGACCGGGTAAGTCATAATTTATTTTCAAGCTGTATATAATATGAGGAAACTCCAGGAAAGAGAAGCAGACAATGGTGATACGGAGTTAGTCATTATAACCACATGCCATAAAGCAGCTGTAGAATACAAATATAGAGGTGCATTCATTTTCTGCTTGAGTGAAATTTCAGTTTGTTTCTGCATTTGTTCTTCCTTTCAGACATTTATTGACTGTGTCGACCCAAGTCACTGTCTTATTTTGCTATAGAAAAGACACTGATGGGAAATGTGCTCTTTTCTTTTCCTTTTCTTAAGTCAGTCCTAGATAGAATTGAATCAAAAGGGACTGAATGTACCATAGATGTTCTTAGTATCATACCAAAATTAATAAATTCATGACAGGCGCATTTATATTCAGCTCCAGTTCAGCTTGCTAATACGTGTATTGCTGACTGCTTTTCTTTCCTGATTGCCAGGAAGCTATTTTGAGTTTGTTTGGCAAAGAACTTCCATAAACCAGAATGCTGATATCAGGACTTTATCACTTTTCTTGCTGCAGAATCAAATGCAGTTGGGGTGGGTTAATAATAATAATAATAATAARAARAARAARAARAATAARAACAACAACAACAATAACAARAACAACAACAACAACAACAACAACAATAATAATCACAAAATCACAAGTGGAACACTTCCCAAGCATCTAGGACTGTGTGATGTATTTTTCGAATGATGTGCYCAGATCCAAGTAAGGTGGCCTTTTGCAATCACGATCTGTCAACTGCAAAAGGCCACCTTATTTGGATCTGCGCGCATCATCCYAAAATACATCACACAGCCCTAGARGCTTGGGAAGTGTTCAATTTGTGATTTTGTGATACGAAATCCAGCATATAGATCTCGTTTGCTGTGACATCCTYTGCTTTTGTGTCAATAATAATAATAATAATAATAATAATAATAATAATAATAATTTTATTTCTTACCCCCTCTCCTCATGGCTCGAAGTGAGTTACAGAATAATTAAAACACATACACATTGTAAAAATACCACAGATACACATATTTGAATGTATTTCATAAAAGATACATATTAAAATATGTATTAAGTATGTGTCCATGCAGCCAACAAAACTTATATAGGATGTATCCATCCTATATAGTAACCTATACATGCCTCATGTACTTTCCAATGGAAGTTCTACATGGGTAGGAATTTTACAATCTGAAGCCTTATTACATGAATGAATCAGGCCCAAAGGATAGCAAATTAAGAAAAGGAGAAGGAGGAAAAGTGATCAGGTTGTAGGTCAACTTATGCTTCCTAAAATAATAGATTTGAGATATATGGTAACCCAGTTGTAGATTGCTTTCTTTTTCATGTTCTTGGGAGAAATCTAGGATCAAGGTACATTTGCCAACATTCACATCAGTCAATATTATTTAGCAAAGGCGAAGAAAAAGATTACACACCAGTGTGACCTTTCTTTCCTGGGAATTTATCATTTAAACTTTAATCTAGCCCAGTGTTTACAGAGACAGAACTTCTAGTTTACCCTAGACAGGAAGTCAATCTCTTTGCTTTCAGGAAAACATCCAGTAAATGAAAGCACTTTAGAGTTCTTCATCCCCCTTGCTTTTTAACAAAAAACCAAGTTTTACAGATCAGCAAATTGTCCAATCTTTAAATGGAAAAAATATTTTAGCAGCTTAGGCTTTCTTCCTTGCTGATGCACCAAAATCCTCATTTTAATAGAGACTTTGAATTACTTTTAAGCACCACTATGTGCTTAGAGTAATTTTGCTTACAAGTGAACTGGGGATCAATGCAATCAGCTAATAAGATTATGCACATTAACTATAAAGCAATATCTGGAACAGGAACAAGGGAGATGCATATGTGATTGAATTTATTGCCTGATTTACTGTTGAAGTTGGTGTTTAATTTTTTTGTTGCTGCAATTGTACTTTTCTTCTTTCCACTGTTTTTTTGTAGAATCACGTGCACAAACCATATGCATGTCTATGTGAAAGAGATAGCTTATAAACAAAATGATATATACTGCTTCTTAGAAGGGTTTGTGGAGAAAAAGAAGTCTCCGAATACAGTGCCCTGGACACTGATTTTCAATTTGATGTAAAGATGAGAAAATATTTAAAGCATTTAAACATTTTTCAAACAACTCATTTTTCATACATGGAATAACAGATGAAAGTCATTCCTAAAATGATGGGAATTTTCAGTTTGGAATTTGTTGTGTGCAAAATTTTCACGTAGTTCTGTGCAGAATAAGTGCAAAATTGCACACAGGCTTTGAAAACTGTGTGGAATACTTCATATATTTGATGAATGAGTTATCATCCAGGAAATTTATGTTATAAAAATGAATTTTTCTTTGAGATGAAGCAAGATTTGATGAATTTTACAAACATTCATGCTTGACTAAAAGAAAGACATTGTACTATTTTAATAATTTGTAAAGTGAGATAATGCCACAGACTTAGGGATAAGAATATTGAAGTAAGCTTATATTGAATCCAGCACATGGTCATCATAGTCCTTTACTGCCATACCCTGATTAGCAGCTTTTTTCAAGTCTGCAAAGATAATTTTCAACCGTGCTACCGGATTTTATATATTGTAACTGGAGATGTAAAACCATGATCTATGTCTTTTGAAAAACCATGATGTAATGCCTTTTGTTGTTGAGGTATGGCTTATCTTTGCAAAGACCAAAGCTTTGGCCAAGTAGAATGTCCTTGAGACATTTTCCTGATTGTATTATAATGCTTTTTGCTCCCTCAAAATACTTCAGATAGTTTGCTTGAAGTCACAACGTTTGCTTCAAACACTGCTTTTGATGAAAATCTGTGTTACTGTAGAGAAGTGCACAACTTTGTGAGAAGTTTTGTGTCCCTTACTAAAACTTTTGATTTGCTTCTGAATTTCTCAGACATTTTGCCTGAGGATGAACTCAAATGTTACTTTGATTTATAAGGGAAATTTCTGTGGCAACCTTACTTTCTCAAAAGTGTCAGATATCAGCATGTGCGTGTACTGCCTATTAAATTATACCTTATATATTTGAAGCTGTAAGATTACTTGTCTCTAATAGAAGTACTGTATCTCTTTTCCCTAGGGTACATTCCTGTTATATAACTGACTCTAAAACCAGGGAAGATTTTGACAGTCACAATGTCAAGTTCTACATGGATCAGGTGAAAGGTCCTCAAAAATTGCATTCTGGCTCTCCAGAATATATAGGAAAGCTGCAAGACCTTGTAAAGATACTCAAGAAGATGTAAGTTTTAAATTCACACATAACTTTATGTCCTTGTCTTATCAGTACAAACATGGGAATCAGTAACTTTCAAAATATATTATGAATGAATTTAAGAAGCTAATAAATTTATAGAGCTCTCTTATTGTGGTGGTATGCTAACCATTTTGCTTTAAATTGTTTCCAATGCCTTCTCACAGATTGTTTATCAATTGCAGTTTAAACTTTGGTGCATTGATTGTATGTTGGGGGCTAATAAATGTACAGGCATTGCATTGGAAAGGGTAAGAGAACAGAATTTTGTTAGGACTTAATATTACAACACGATTCTTAAATAGTAAAGGTTTATTATTATTCCCTACTTACATTATGCCTAAACACATGTAATTATATTGTGCCTAAATTATTTCTTCATTATCTCTGCATTATGTCATTCTGAATATTGCCATGCATATTTATGACACACTAGTGTTGTTATTATTGTTCTTGTTAATCTGGACAATGACTAAAGTAGACTTTTTCAAATAGCTTAAAATCATGAGACTTTTTCTTGATGAAGTAGCAGTATCTCAGTAAGACTCAATGGAATAATTATATTTTTCTAAGTATGTGGGGAAAAACTATACACTTGGCATCTGAACAGCAGGATGCCGCATGCCTATCTAGAGATTCACAGGGTGATTAGAGACTGATTAAAAAGACTAGAAATACCCCAATATAATTCTTCATCTTTCTCTCTCTTTTTTTTTTAAAAAAATAGATTCATGTTTATCTCAAAATATTTTAAATATTTTCTGTCACTTCCTGGTATAATTGGCAATTTTTATACTGGCTCTCCAGGTTGGTTTATTTTGAACCAATATAAAACTGGAATGACCCAAAATCTTTTCAATCAGTCTGGATGTGGCTGGAGATGGCGAGGAAATTCCAAGCTTCTCTCCCAAACCTGCATAGAGATACCAAATTTACATGTCAAAGTTTCACAGCTGTATGATTCAAGCCTGAGACAAATAAGTAATTATTATGAAGTTGTATGTTCAACAGTATTGTGAGCATATAAATTATAATTTGAAAGATACTGAAATTATTAGCATGTTGTCAATGAAAGGTAGACAGCAGACACAGATATGTAAATACTGACTCATATTAGACCACACCTGGAATATTGTGTCCAATTCTGGGCACCACAATTCAAGAGAGATATTGACAAGCTGGAATGTGTCCAGAGGAGAGCGACTAAAATGATAAAAGGTCTGGAGAACAAGCCCTATGAGGAGCGGCTTAAGGAGCTGGGCATGTTTAGCCTGAAGAAGAGAAGGCTGAGAGGGGATATGATAGCCATGTATAAATATGTGAGAGGAAGCCACAGGGAGGAGGGAGCAAGCTTGTTTTCTGCTTCCCAGGAGACTAGGACGCGGAACAATGGCTTCAAACTACAAGAGAGGAGATTCCATCTGAACATGAGGAAGAACTTCCTGACTGTAAGAGCCGTTCAGCAGTGGAACTCTCTGCCCCGGAGTGTGGTGGAGGCTCCTTCTTTGGAAGCTTTTAAACAGAGGCTGGATGGCCATCTGCCAGGGGTGATTTGAATACAATATTCCTGCTTCTTGGCAGGGGGTTGGACTGGATGGCCCATGAGGTCTCTTCCAACTCTTTGATTCTGTGATTCTATGATTCATATGAGAAGCAGTTACTTTTGGTATGAGGTCCACTCTTCTTTTAATTCTAATTTTATCATTGGTATGCAATTGTCTAAAATGAGTAAGTCAGTTGCTATTATTCTTTATTAGGGAGATAGATTGGCTGAATTTATATCCCGCCTTTCTCCCAAAATGGGATTATAGGCATCAAATGGTTCCCTTGTTGCAAGAACTTACACTTTTTAAAATAACATTCTCTCTTGCCAGGGATGAGCATTTCAGTGATATTTCTTTACATCCCTATATATAATATAAACCAATTTGAAGAAAGAACATTTAGCAAAGTGAGTAAAGAGAGAAAGAAGGGAAGGGAAATGGAGTTCTTACTTTTTTGTACAAAAAATAACAGCAAACCCACATAATTCCTTCTGACTTCTAGAAAGGTGATGTTATCACAACAGATCCAAGGCTGTATGTACATCTTTAAAAAAATAATTTAATGGCAGCCATAGAGGTTGGAAGGATCAGATTGGAACTGACATTTGGAGGGGCAAATGTTAGCTGTTTCACCTACAATCATTTTCTCAAGATGCTCACACAGTGCTATTTATCTTGGGAGGAGAGAGAGGTACTTCTTCCTGTGCGCTAAATCGCAGCTGGGAAGGGGTTTAATTTACAATGGGAAAATACACATTAGAAAATGTTAACAGTCCATTTCTGCTGCTCCTATTAAAATATTAAAACGCAACTGGCAATCCAATCACAGATCTCATGCTGCCACAACTAGTTTTGCCCTAATAGACACATTTTTAATTTGAAAAACCTTTGATGGGGTGGCATAGCAAGCATTGGTGCACTATTGTTTGCAGCGTTAATGACACATTTTCAATAATTGGTTGCATTAATGACTGTATTAATTAAATAGTTTTTGTAGTTCTGATTTTATGTTTTAGTTGACTGATTTAAAAAGGTTGCTTGTATTTTATTATGGGGGAGGAGTAGGTAAAAATTACTTTGAACTAAAATATGTGGTGCCAGAAATATAATAATACCATGCTGCAACTTGGACAAATTATGGTTTTGAAGTATGATTTCTTACATGGCTGGGGATACTTCGAATTATAGTGGAAAAAAGTAACTCGTCCAAGCATACTGTCATTCTGATCTATCAGTTTAGGTGATTATTCTAGCATTCATATTCTACTGCATATAATCTATGGTATACTGAATGTTACTGCACAGTTATTTTGTCTACCCTTTCTCTGCTTTAAGTGATGGGCTAATTCTTATTTTCATGCTGGCTAGTCATGTTGCACTGTTTAATTTCCAAAAGTTAATTAACCTGCCCTCCAGTAATGTTAGCTGCTATAATGTCATCTTGTCTGCCTACCTCAGTGCTAGTGGAGGGGGGTGCACTATCATTCTGTCAGTATTTGGACACATATGTTGGCTCCATGCTGTGAATCAGCTTTAGATGCCAGAATAAGGTGTTAACAGTGATTAGGTCTGAGTTTGAGAATTGCGAGCTTGTTGGATAGTGGCTGTGGATAAAGGCACAAGGTGAGGCACTTTGCACACTCTATTTAATATTGGGACTATACTGCAGCTGCCAAATAGAAATGAGTTTGGAACTTCAATGTTATGAGAAGGAGGGGGGAAATGTTCTCCATTATTTAGCTCCCCTACTATACTGGATGCAAAAACGTTATTATCTCGATATATTGCTTAATATTTATAATTCTCACAGTGGATCTATTTTGGAAAAAGAATAGTTGTTTTTTTTATTATTTCTCCCTTTACATTTTAATTTTTTTAATGGATTATAACACAAAACATCCAAAACTAAGAATGTACAATAGAGAAGAGCTTGCCAAACATTTCATGTTGGTATCAGATTTCTTGGACATTTCTCAACATAGTAATTCAGCTTTACTAACAAACTGGAGGCCCTTAAAAGCCCCTTAAAAGAGATATAGGTACATACCTAAATTGTAATGATACAATTTATAGTGACACAACATATCCCACAAAAACCTTATAGTTTAAAAAATATATATGATTCCTTGCTTATTCCACATAGGCTCAGAAGTTTCTTGTTAGGTTCATGCGGCACACCTACACACTACAACTGACACATGAATGTGTCGCGACACCATTTGAAAACCTCTGCAATACACCCTTCACTTGGGCCCACGTAAAATTAGAAAAAAAAACCCCATATTTAAACATTAACTACTTTTTAACCTGAAAAAATACCTTTCTAGAATCTCTGGGTGTCCTCCATGAAGAGTGAAATCTTGCAAACGTCAAACCTGCACATATGGAAAGCAGACTGCATTTTCTTTGCATTTTTTTTGGACAAAGGTCATGCAGTATTAATTTATAGATGTTCCAGCTGTAAGGTGTTATGTTTAGGGGCAGGTCTTATCTGCCATCAGAAATGCCTTTCTGCCAACTGACCTATATTAGTGGACAGGGCATTTTTCTGGAAGATGTTGTCTGCTGAATATAGTCTGCTGGCAGAAGAGGATTAGAGGTGAGACAGAATGAATAGGGAGTTGTGTTATGCCTGATAATTCTTCAGGCCCATGGACACAGTGATAATGTTGTTTTTCCTTGAAAAGTTAATACAAAATTCAGCTCTCTTTGAACTATTTTAGAGATAGTCTGTATATTCTTTATTTGGGATTAAAATGCACTTTCATGTAGACGAGGGAAATTCATCACATTAGTATCCTGCAGTTGGAAACTAGTGACTTCATCACACTAGAGAATGAATCCACTTTAAATCCAGTTTCTGCCTCCTGTGGAATTCTAGGGTTTGTAGTTTCATGAGGCTATTAAAGGCTCCTCCCTAAACTACAAATCTCAAAATTCTGCAGGAGGCAGCAACCAGATTTAAAGTGGATTCATTCTCTAGTGTGATGAAGTAGCAAGTGGATCAGTTGGTTTTCCCAATTTCTGCTAGCATATGCTGTTTTGTGGATATTGACTGCATAGGAGGAGTGTTTCAACAGCAGCAATGCAACTAAAATGGTCAACCAAATAAGATTAATTGTGTTGACACATCACTTGGAAGATCAAGACATTTTTATTAGTCTTGTTGTTTTTAGTGGTGTGTGTATATATGTGTGTGTGTGTGTGTGTGTGTGTGTATCTATATCTATATCTATCACACTATCATCCAGAACCAATGTTATGTAATAATTTGACTGTGAAACTAGTACTCTGGGAGACATATTTACCTTTTTTTTTTGGCAGTAGCATGTTTCAATGGCTTCCATCACATCTTGGAGAACTACTTCCAGGGCAGCTCTGTGGCTGAATTGTCACAGAAAAAAATGGTGACAGGGAACAATGGCAGGCTCCTTATCTTTCTAT